GAGTTGTGCAGAGTGAGGGCTTTTGGCGGGCAACCTCTATGGAGGTGGTTATTTTGAAAAATTCAATGATTATATTTTGGAGTTTCAAAAAAATCTACATGTTCATATGGATGTATTCTACTCCCTCCGTTCCTAAATACTTGTCTTTCTAGGCATTTCAACAAATGACTACATACGGAGCAAAATGAGTGAATCTACACTCTAAAATATGTCTACATGCATCCGCATGTAATAGTCATTTGAAATGTCTAGAAAGACAAATATTTAGGAACGGAGGGAGTACATGTGTATAAAATCTGACAATGAAATACATTATGGTGAGAGCTACACAAACAAGAGAAAAAACCTGCATTTCTAATAGTGAACAGTGTTCTCACTGTTCATCAGTCTGGAAAACGTGATTTGTCTTTTTTGTGTAGCTCTCATCATAATGTATTTCATCTTAAAAATTTACACATATGTAGAATACATCCATGTTAATATGTATGATTTTTTCAGAATTTTTTGAAACTTTAAAAAATGTTTTTCGATTTTTTAAAAATACCCACCTCCATGGAAGTCGACCGCCGTTGGCATTCCCCTTTTCTACATTTTCAGTATCTTGGCTATGGATCAGTTTTGAAGTCTGAACCTGATCCTGATGGCTCCACTAATTCTATTCTGAACGACATAGTGAGCATTGATGGGACTACTTGTGGGGCTGTTCTAAATCTGGAAATAAGATGCAAGTGGAGATTGAACAGAGCAGAAACCCCGAATAAGTTTTTTACCGGTGGCGGGATGTACTGGTGGAGAATCAGCCATCTATACAATTTTAGGGATTCGTGCAGCTATTTGAGGTATAGAACCAGTTAATGCAATACAAAAAGAATACATGTGGATCCTTTACATGTCTTTTCAATTTTTGTCAAGAGAGAGATGACGTGTCAATCGAAGCACCGCTTTTCATCATTGCATGCATGTTAAAATATTCTATCTCCACATACACTGAACATTCGCTTTATTTTCATTCTCAGATTTTTAACGATTCATATCTTTTGAACCAAAAGTTCGTTATTAAAACTTTTTTATATTTGAACTCGTGGTGTGAAGACCTTGAGAACAAGATCAATTTTGGATACATTTGAACTACATTTTTTGTATATATTTCAATTATCTGCGAAATCAGTTTCATAAAACATCAAAAGGTTTCACTATTTCATATAAGTGTTATATATGGTTTCAAAGAAATTCACAAACTGGAATACGGAACTTACAAACCAACTTCACTCATTTGATTTCACTCGTTTTGAATAACTCATATGCAGTTCTTTAAATAAACCGATTTCACTCAATTGAGAAAACAAATTCGCTCACTTCATAAAACAGATTTTGCTCGTTTCAGAAATTATATTCACTCATTTCAAGAAACGATTTCAATCATTCAAACAATGATTTCAGTTATTTCATAAAATTGGTTTCACTCAATTCGAAAAACCGATTTCACTTAATTCAGAAAAAATGTATTTCACTAATTTGAAAAGGCATATTTCACTCCTTTGAGAAATTTATTTTTCATGAGTTAAAAAAAGGTTTCACTCATTACAAAAAAAATTGGTTCACGTATCTTAAATAAACTGATTTCACTTATTTGAAATAACCGATTTCACTCAATTTAGAGAAAAAATTCACACAATTAAGAAAACAAGTTTTAGCCGTTGCAAAATACAGATTTCACTCAGAAAAAACATATTTTGGAAAAGTGAGTTTGTTCATTGTAAAACACATATTTCACTTGTATCAAATAAATAGTTTCAAAACTTTGAAATAACAAGTTTCACGCATTTCACACCGGAATATCTATCATGTGTATGAAAAAAAAGATTTCACTCATTTCAAGAAAATAATTTCACTTGTTATAGAAAGGTTATTTCACTTATTTCAAAATAACTATCATTTTTAACAATTTCACTCGTTTAAAAACTGGATTTCATTGAATTCTGAAATAATTTCACTTATTTCAATACACGGATTTTTAACATAGTTCTGACAACATAAATTTGTTTGAAACGGCAAAATTGAAACTAGTTTAAATGCATTGAAAATTGGTCTTGTTCGAAAGGTCTCGTCGCTAGGAATTCAAATATATAAAAAGTTTCAAAAATAAATTTGTAGCTTAAAAGATATGAATGATTGAAATTATGTAAAGAGAAATAAAAGGACATGAATTTAGTGAGGAAGAGATGAGAGCGATTGTGCCCGTGTCATGCATGATGGGGAGGAGAGATAATATGTGCATGCATGCGTGGATGGGATGGAGGGGATCACTGATTTGACTTAAGTGCTGAGATACAAAGATGAGGTTTGACAATACATAGCTATACTTATGGAGTAGGACCAAAACTGCGGAAAAAAATTATATGAGACCAGGTCTCACGGTTAGCAAGTGAGATTCGTCCTAATAGATGACACGTGGCATTCACAAATCACAAAGCATCTAATCTCTTCCCTTCTGATTTTAAGTGGAGGGTGGGAAATGCTTTGAGATTTGTGAATGCCACGTGTCATCCATTAGGATGGGTCTCGCGTGAGACCTGGTTTCATAGAATTCTTTTCCCTAAAACTGCATAGATCTTAAAAGCACTATGTGGATCTTAAAGGCACTGTACATCCCGCCACCGGTAAAAGAGACTTTGCGGCAGAAACCCCTCATCTTTTTTCTCACTCTGAGTCCAATGTGCTCCCATCTTTTCGAGTCAAATCTTGCAAGAGAAGGTGAGTGAACATTTTCATCGCAACAGTGGCTGGATGTTACGTATAAAAAGGCCTAGGCCAAAGCGCTCCATCAACAAATCGCATTACCACCACGCACGTATTCCAGTGCGTCACTTGGAAGGCTCTACGCGAGCTTGACCGCGCGTGGCAATGCAGATCGAATCCAACACGAAGTATTGCAGAGTCGAGGGAGCAGCATCCGAGGAGGACCGGCTGAGTGACCTCCCCGACGACGTCCTCCACTCGATCGTCGGCAGGGTCCCCCTCAAACAAGCCGTACGCACCAGCGCCCTCTCCACGAGGTGGGCGTGCCTGTGGCTCCACGCGCTCGCCGCCTCCGCCGTCCTCGACTTCACCGACAGCGAATTCGTCCGCGGCCAGTTCCTGGGGCGGATCGTGGCCACGGTGAACCGCTGCCTGGAGGTCCACGGCGCGGCTCCCATCGACGTGTTCCGCGTGGCGCTGTCCCCGTTCGATGCGTATGGGCGGGACGTCGTCCGGTGGGCCGCGACCGCCTTGGTTAGAGGCGCCAGGGAAGTGGGGGTGGACCTGACGCAGCATGCCGACGTCCGCGGGGCTCTGGAGCTTCCCGTGGACCTCTTCCAGGCCGAGAGCTCCCTTGCGGTGCTCAGCCTTGGCCGGTGCAGCCTCCGCGACGTCCCGCCCGGCACGCCGGGGCTCGCCGGTCTCACATCGCTCTCCCTCAACCAAGTCGACGTCACCGACGATGCTGTCCGGGACGTGGTCTCCAGGTGCCGGCTGCTCGAGTTTCTGAGCCTGGAGAGCTGCCACCTTCTCGTGTCGGTGAGGGTCGCCGGCGACAGGCTGCGGGGCCTGGAGATCGTGCGCTGCCTGGCCATGCGCCACCTGCAGGTGGCCGCGCCCGTGCTGGAGTCTGTTGCCTACCACGGCGACGTCCTCCTCATCTGGAGAGAGGACGAGCCGTCAGGCGTGGAGTTCGTTGGCCCAGGCGGCAGGACCGATGCCAGGCCGGAGCTAAAGGACGCGTACCTGACCCACATCGGCTACGGCGAATACGACGAAGTAATTCACGAGTTCGCCTACTCAGGCTTCTTGGATCAGGTCGCGCATGCCAAGATTTTGACACTTTGTTCCGTGGGCATGCGGGTACGATATTCAAACATGTTCTTGCCTAGGAAACCAATCAGGCGATTAACGGTGTCTTTCATACGATCAGCACCGGGAAGAAGAGCGACTGTTCGCTGAGGGCGACGTGGATGCCCCGAACCTAGAAGAGCTGCAGCTGCTAATGGACTCCATCTCCATGGGCGACGACGATGTTACTCGCTTCTCCGGATTCTTAGAGCTCGTCGTGGCGCCACTCCTCGAGCGCCTCTTTATCCGGGTAAGCATCCTGATACATGATCCATTCGAACCTGACTTGCCACGGCGTGCGATCCTAACGAGCTACCGGCTCCGTGGATCGAACTTGCAGCTCCGACGCGTGCGGCGGCACGGCGGTGACCGGCGAGGGCGCGGATATCGTTCTCGAGTGCGAGATCGCTCTCGACCACCTGACGTTCCTCAAGGTGGTGAACTTCCGAGGGACGAGGCGCGAGCTGCGGGTGCTAAGGTTCGTCCTGCGCAGGGCTCCTGTCCTCGAGCAGCTGGTGCTCGTCACACCGGAAGACGTGGGAACTCCGGGGGACCATGACCAGCAGGAGAGCGTCCGCCTGCTCCTTAAGGTCGTCCAAGAGCACGTGTCAAAGATCAGCAAGGCGTGGCTCTGGCAGGAGCCCCGCGTCACCTTGTGCCGGCCGAGGGAGGACGACGGCCGGAGCCCTGCACACACCAAGTACTACCACCATGATCAGGCATAGTTCAACTAGAGCTAATTAATTGGGCATAGTTATAAAAAAGCACCCAAACCTATCAATAAGCCACAAGCCTTTCAATACTCAGTTAAAAAAAGGTTATTACTAAGGTTTGTATATCGAAACATTAACAGAATCACTAAAAGTCTCACGTCAGGTATTTAGGATCCCGTCACGAACGCTTCATCGACTATCTGACCACCAGCACGAATTTTGATGCAAGTTCATCACGCGCCACCCGTTACGAACCGTCCGCGTGGACGGGCGATGAGCGTGACCCTTTTAGATGGGGGTGAGACGCCCCCCTTTGTTATGCATTTCTAGACCAGTCCACTCATTCTCTTCCCCACTCACGGCAACCATCACTTTCGATTCCATTCGATTCCACCCGACCAGATCACCGATGAGGGGGTATGTGGTGGCTTGCTCGTGGATCTCGGCGGCATGGCGCTAGCTCGAGAAAGCGGTGGCGCTCGAGGATGCACAAGGGGGCAGCGACGGCGGTCACAATCGAGGGTGTTGCAGCGGCCTGCCCGCGGACCTCGGCGACATGGTAATGGAGCTAAATCTGATAGATTTCGGATAAGTGGTCCCGAACTAAGTGTCTAGATGTGATGGTAACAAGGACATGAGATTTTACCTAGGTTTAGGCTCTCCGAAGAGACAATATCCTATGTTTTGTTTGTTTTTATTGCTTTGGGATGGAGTGCAAAGTACAGATAATCTATCATGAGATTGTTATGTCGTTCTAGAGTCCTATCCCTCAGTTTATATAGGTATCGGGGGTCTAGGGTTATAGCATCCTAGTCAGCTTGGGCCGTCTAATTCACCACAAGTTTTCGGGAGCCTTCCATTCATACGTCATGGGCCGTCGGGCGTACCCACTCCTGAACCGACATGAGGTCCTCGGCTTGTCCTGGCTCACCAGGCTGGGAGGTGACCTGGTGAGAGACCCCCAATCCAGGACACCATTAGCAGCCCTTGAACCGGTTTTCAAGTCTAGACACACCTTGGCTCTCCCGGGCTGCCCTTTGTCTTTGGTCGTCAATCTTTGAAACCGGTTCAACGAATTTTTCTCATAAATTGGACTCATCAACGTGTGTGTGTGTGTGTGTATAGTATTACTATTCATCATCCAGGATGCTGAATAAGTAATTCTTCACCCGAGATAATCTTACGATCGCTTTCTAAATAAATTACATTTAGAATATAAATAGTTACATGCATTTTGATTTAATATGTAAAATTTAGTATAAAAAATAAAAATATAGGTTATAAGACCAGAAAAATCACATTTTATGTATGTTTTACACTATGTTTTTACATTCGTAATTTTACGTAACATAAAATATTTTTTACGGTGAGTACATATTTTCTTACGTTCTCTTTTTAAGTATGAAATAAGACAAAATTTACGAAACGTTAAAATACGGTGCATTGATGTCAAAATAGAGAGGGGGTGAAGAATAACTATTCCTCACCCAGGGTGACGAATAGCGCGATATGGTCGCGCTATTCGTTATCCTGGGTGAGGAATAGTTATTCTTCACTTCTCCCTCTATTTTACCATCAATACACCGTAATTTTATGTTCCATAAGTTTTGTCTTATTTTCGACGCAAAAAAGGACCGTAAGAAAAATATATAATCGCCGTAAAAAATATTTTATGTTATGTAAAATTACAAATGTAAAACCATAGTCTAAAATACACATAAACTGTAAATTTTCTTGTCTTATGATCTATATTTTTTATTTTCTTATAACTCCGCCTATGTCTTCTAGGCATAGCCGGTCCCAAGCCCGGGTAAAGGAGGAGGGTTGTGATAGGCTTGGCGAGCCAACGTAAAAACTAGCCAGTCCCATGGGTATGAAACCCATTTGAGTGAGAGTAGTACTAGGATGGGTGACCTCCTGGGAAGTCCTCGTGAAAGGGTTTCATATCTAAGGGTTGTGGTAGGCTTGGCGAGCCAACGCAAAAACTAGCCAGTCTTTTGGGTATGAAACCCATTTGGGCGAGAATAGTACTAGGATGGGTGACCTCCTGGGAAGTCCTCGTGAAAGGCTTTCATATCTAGCCTACCCCAACTTGTTTGGGATAAAAGGCTTCGTAAGTAAGTAAGTAAGTAAGTATATCAAATTTTACGTAGTGAATCAATAAAAATGTTATTATTTAAATTCCAAACGTAATTTAATTATGAAATGATCGTAAGATTACCTCGGATGAAAAATAACTTATTTTGCACCCTAGGTAATGAATAGTAACACTATATATATATATATATATATATATATATATATTGCAAAAATGTTAATCATGTATTTAATAGATGTTTAATGGGTACAATAAAATTGTTCTGTTATATACGAAAAAAGTGCAATGCTTATGAAAAATGTACACATGCAGTAAAGATAAACAACAATGAAAAACAGGGAAAAAATGAAAACCTCGATAAAAACTGACTAAGAAACCGAAGAAACCAAAAAGAAACAAAGCAACGAAGTATAAAGAAGAAAGGAAAAAAACTATGAAAAAACAAAGAACACAAAGGTATAACAAAGAGAAAAGGAGAACCTAAGGAATACTATTGAGGAAAAAATTGAAAAGCAAAGGAAAGAGCAAAAAGAGAAAAGGGAAAAGAAAACCGAAAAAAACTAGCACAGAGCGAACGTAAAGCGACTTGCCACAGAGGGGAAACGAGAGACAAGTGCTAATGGGCCGCCCGATCATTGTCGCCGGTAGGCGATTCCCTAGACGACACATAGCCCCAGGGCCGGATCGTTTACGTATTCGGTTACAGGAAGGCAAGAGGTGGGGAGTTTATTAATTTGCGTCTGGCCATAGAAGCAAAGCCGAGGAACCGATCGCCCGGGAGGAGATGGCCGACGGAGAGGACGCTGGCGCTGCCCGCCGACGCACCGCCGTCTCTGACTACCGGAAGAAGATGCGCAACTTGAGGGACTCGCGCGTCGGAGCTGGTAAAGGCGCACAGTCTCCCGTCTCTACTCCGTTCTGATTCGAGATGTGTTCCCTGATACTCCCTCCGTCCGAAAAAGCTTGTCACAAGCTTGTCCCTCAAATGGATGTATCTATCACTAATTTGATGCTAGATACATCCACTAACTTGATGCTAGATACATCCATTTAAGGGACAATCTTTTTCGGATGGAGGGAGTACGTCGGGGCGTTGAGGCCTTGAGGGTGTAGGGTCCTGGCCTGCGGTGTAGCCTGTTGGGTAATAATCCTCTAGTAGATTGCCTCGGTTCTGCTCATCCAGGGGTAATCATCGGCTGTTGCATTAATTGTTATTTTAGGATTTAGGGTTATTTAGGTGGATAAATCCTATTTTATGATAATGGCTATCTAAGGACTCATTCGGTTTAGGATTTTCAAATCAAAGAAATAGAAAAGGTAGATGATTGGGATGCCCCCTTCACATTAGTTCTTAGGAATTTTCCATGAGGTATTTTACCTAACGCTAAGAATTGGGCTAATATTGACACAATTCTACATAATCTAGGACCTCCATGTTAGGAAATTAGGCATATTTTATTTAAGCTTAATCCATATTAGCATCATGACAAGATTATTGGCATGGCAAATCGCATACGACAGACTAGGAACATCTAGCACATTCACATATGGACCACCTTATCTCTTTTCTACTGACCTTCTCACTGTATATGCAACTACAATAGTGCATTTATAAGCGATGTGAAAACCCTTATCAAGTCGGCCTGGACTAGTTTAACGAATTGTCCATGGCCTTTGTAAGGAATTCTTAAGTAAATATTCTTTTTGCCATAATGTTCTCTTGTTTCCAAAGGCATACATTTCCATTATGATTAGCTTGATTTTTCATATGACATGCGGTTCATCTACATGCAGTGAATGAAAACTTAAAAAATAATCAGGATTTTGCAAAGATTGAAGATTACTTGGAGCCACTCCAAACTGTTGGAGAGCTAACAGGAGAGGTTCTCTGTTCTTTTGACAACGAACATTGTAAGTGAAGAGCCTTTCTTTCTATGTTGTTTCATCTGTATACTTGCACAATTGATTTTCACTTGCCCTGGAAAGTTAAACGCCTCCCATGAGATCCTTGTCAAATTTCTATGCTTCCAAAATTCCCAAAACAATCATTTTTTAATTACATGTACAAAAATTTGTGGGAAAAAGGTTATGATCATGTGCAACATATCTTTATCTTTACCTAATAATAAAATAAATTGGGCTTCTTTCGTCCGTCATGACATTTTTCAGAAAAGCCCCTCTATTTCAGAGAATTCAACCCGCAGTCCTGTTTTAAGTTAAAACGAATCGTTATTTTCATATTTTACACAAAAGTCCCTGTCTTTTATTGAAATCAACCTGCCGTCCGGATTTAAGTCACA